CCCCCCTCCACCGTCCGATCCATTTTGGATCTCACGCCGGAGAGTTTTGGGGTGTCTTAGCTCTAAGTCCTCCACCGCCCAATGGGGGACTTTAGTATTTATTTTAATGCCGTACCAATAGGCATTAACCTTAGGTAAGCTTGTGCTTACTTTGGACTGTACCCTCCTCATCCTCTGGGGGAGGAAGAGAGGGGGGGGGCGCATGGCCTCTATTTTTCAGGGGGGGTTCGGGTACTGGTTGGGGGTCGGGTCTATGTGTACTGCATTCCCGAATTGTCTCCTCACTTTAGCTACAGTGGATTTTGAGTATACAGCTATCCTTACTCAACGCGTCTATGTGTCCGGCAATCTCCAATACAAATCAACCTGTGAGGTTTCAGTATGCAGCTATCCTCACTCAACACGTCTATGTGTCCGGCAATCTCCAATACAAATCAACCTGTGAGGTTTCAGTATGCAGCTATCCTCACTCAACACGTCTATGTGTCCGGCAATCTCCAATACAAATCAACCTGTGAGGTTTCAGTATGCAGCTATCCTCACTCAACACGTCTATGTGTCCGGCAATCTCCAATACAAATCAACCTGTGAGGTTTCAGTATGCAGCTTTCGTCACTCAATGCGTCTATGTGTCCGGCAGTCGCAAACGTCACTCAAACCGGTAGGTCTCAAAATGCAGCTATCCTCACTCAAATCGTCCATGTGTCTGGCACTATCCAACATCACTCAACTCGTGGGGTTTCATTATGTAGCTATCCCCACGCAGCGCGTCTATGTGCCTGGCAAACTTAAAATCCAATCCATCTGTGAGGTTTCAGTATGCAGCTTTCTTCACTCAACACGTCTATGTGTCCGGCAATCTCCAATGCAAATCACCTGTGAAGTTTCAGTATGTGTCTTTCCTCACTCAAAGCGTCCATGTGTCCGGCACTATCCAACATCACTCAACTCGTGGGGTTTCATTATGTAGCTATCCCCACGCAGCGCGTCTATGTGCCTGGCAAACTTAAAATCCAATCCATCTGTGAGGTTTCAGTATGCAGCTTTCTTCACTCAACACGTCTATGTGTCCGGCAATCTCCAATGCAAATCA